CCACTCTCCCTGGAAGAGAGGATGGAGCCTTTGAAGGGATCCAGTCCTCCTCGGTCAGAGACTTTCGACCAGCAGGCACGTTCCGCGATGCACCGCACATGACCCAGCACAAGAATCTCAAATTCAGCACCAAGGGCAGCATCACGCAGCAGCACCGCTCAGTCATGCCTGCCGACCGCCTTCTGAGGCACGAGCAGGGCACTGCCCTGATGATGAATGGGCAGGTAGTTGCAGGCCGATGCCGCAAGCAGCTCAACAAAGGCATCAGGTCTGCACTGCACAAGGTAGCCAAGGAGCTCTTCACCCTCCGCCCCTTTCTCCAGAGAGGGGACTCAGTAGCAAACGTGTGCGTGGACTTTGTCGCCACAGGCTTCAAGACGGACCAAAACACACGCCAGTGCCTGGTACACGAGTCGACTGTCGCCAGTGAGGCTGTGCCATGCCCAAACACTGACACCGCCGAGCGGACCCGCTCCGCATGGAATGAGCTCAGGACACTCTACCTCAAGCATGTTCAGCCCATTGTGCTCGACTCCTTCGGGAACCTCTTCTACCCTGTTCTCGACTGGATGAAGGAGAACAAGTTGGAGCTGTATGCTGCTCAGGTGAGTGGTGTCACCTTTGGAGACCTCTTCTGGCCCCGCTCACACACCGACGACGACGCCTGGTACACTGTCCTTGTCCCTCTGGACGACCCGAGTGGGGGTGTTGTCCATGGGGGTGATTTTGCTTTTCCAGAGGCCGGCTGGGTGCTCAAGTGCGAATGTGGGGACGTGCTCATTTACGGACCATGGCACCTGCATGGGACAACAGAGTTCTGGATTGACGCCGCCAAGAAGGGGCGCATCTTTGCGGCCTTTTACATGAAGAAGTCGACAGTCACTGCAGCAGGCATCACTGGCAACATGCCGGCAAGGCCGGTGAAGCTCCCCTATGGATTTTGTGGAGAGGAGTCGGACTGAGGAGGGGGAGAGTGTGTTCTTATCTTTTATCTCAACAACAAAGATACACACATGTATGCAACTTTGAGATTGAGAGCCTCTCTGGGCACTGGGGTGATGTGTGGGGAGTACATGTCGACGAGGCCGTGCCTGTGAGGATATATGGGGGGATATGGGGAGATGTGGGGAGATGTCGAGTACGCGTGTCGATGAGGCTGCCTGTGGGGAGATATGGGGAGATATGGGGAGATGTGGGTACGAGGCTGCCTGTGGGGAGATATGGGGAGATATGGGGAGATATGGG